TGCCATCAGGAGGTCCACCAGTGGGGCCAGGACATTAGAAGCCCTCCCACTGTTGACCCCCCCCCCAAGCACCAAGAAGACAGAGCATCACTTGCCCCAGAGCCCCTAGCTACACCTTGTGGCTAATATCCACTGATGGACCTCTGCTCCATATGCTTATCTAATTCCCTTTTGAAGCCGTCCATTCTTGTAGCCACCACCACTTTTCCTCTACTTTTTTCCTACTCTCACAACATTTATTGTCATGCTCAGGGCATTTTTTGCAGAAAAAGCCCAGCAGGAGCTCATTAGCATAATAGGCCACACCCAACAGCAGGAACTCATTAGCATATTAGGCCACACCCCTGACAGCACAGCTCGTTAGCATATTAGGCTGCACCCCCATGTTACCAGAAGTGGGGTCATCCAGCCACACCCACCTTTTGCTTCTTATTCTGTTTACCTTGTTTGTTGTCAAAACCCAGGGCTTTTTTTGGAGCAGGAACTCCTTTGCCTGTTAGGCCACACACCCCTAATGTAGCCAGTCCTAATGAGTTTCTGCTGTTGGGTGTGGGCTATTATGCTAATGAGTTTCTGCTGGGCGTTGCCAACTCAGTTGCCCAAAAATAGCCCTAGTCATGCCTAAAAAATATTTTTCACCCTGTCAGTCAAAAATGTATCCCCCTCTCTCATCAAGTGAGGACTTGTGCGTGTAAAGCGTCATCAAGTCACAGTCGACTTACAGCGACCTCACAGGGTTTTCAAGGCAAGAGATATTGAGAGGTGGGTTTTGGCATTGCCTGGTTACACATAGCAGCCTTGGAATTCCTTGAAGGTCTCCCATCCAATCACTAACAAGGGCCAATCCTGCCTAGCTCCTGAGATCTGATGAGATCAGGCTAGCCTGGGTCTTCCTTCCTTCTCAACTTTTGTTTTTTGCCCTGGGGGAAAGGGAAGCCACAACTCCATATTAAAGGATCTGCAGTGTCTCTTGCTCTGGATGCAAAGCCATGTATGTAAAAGGGGGGAGGGATGTCTGGCTTGTGGTTTTGGTTTTGCTTTGTCATTGTGTGTGTTGAAAGTGGGGGATGACTCTTGGCTGTGATGTTGTTGACGTGACAGCGAGTATTCACAAGTCTATGCCTTCTTGCAGCTTCTTTCCTGTGCCATCCAGCCCAGCAATCAACAACTGAGATTACAAACCTAAAGAAATCAGGACTCATTTTGACTGCAATTCTGACATGTTGGCGAACCTTAAGAAGAGAGTCCAGGAAGGAGTGTGTGAAGTTCCTCCAACCATGGAGGTTACACAATCATCCGCTAGCCTGGAGGATACTGGACAGTCTCCACTAGAAGTACCTGAAGAATCTATACATGGAGAACAACCACTAGGAAATCCAAGAACAGACATTGGAAGGATTCTACTGCGCTTACAAGCTGGGCAAGAGTCTCTGCTTTCTGAGGTGGCCCAGTTAAGGACCTCAGTAGACCAAACAAATGAGCAGCTTCAGGTAGCTGAATCCCGACTCTCCTCTTTGGAACACAAAGCATGTGCAAGCCAGCTAACTGTAAGTCAAATGCAAAGCGAGAGTGAGCCAGTGTGGTGTTCCTTTTCCCATTCACTCTACAGAGAGGTCCTTCAGTGGGGGTGGGGGTGGGGGTGTGTAGAAGTACATAAGTCTCACTTCATTTTTTACACTACAATCTTCTCCATTAGAATTCCTACAACAAATGTTACATTTCAAACTTTACATCATCAGTATTATAACTGGATTTATGGAACTTAAATACCATAGTGAAGCATGGGTATCACGCTAGTAAATAATAAAAGGCCATCTGCATAATTTTACATTCCAAGGGGTTATGTACAAAGCCATGAATATTATTATTTTGTCTAGTTGCACAGCCAGAGGTTCAAGACATAGTACAAAAATAATAATAAGAAGAGGGCAACTCTTAGTACCCCTCTGAAGAGGGAATGACATGGAAAATATGCCATTAGCTCCCTGATCTGGGAGATGAATAAAAAACTTTAATCCAGTTAAGAAATTCATGAGGAAAACTGAATGTTGTCAGTGTAGCAAAGATAAACTTCCAGTATATTTTGCCAACCACTTTTTCAGCATCAAGTGAGAGAATAGGAACTAGATCAGATCTCCTATTTAAAGCAATCAAATTAGCCTAAGATTATCAGAGCCTTGTTTAGCTCATATAAATCCTACCCGATCTACGTGTACTAACATTGTAACAACTTTTTGGAGTCTGTTAACAAGAATAGCAGTTAATATCTTAGCAGCTACATTCACCAAATAAGTCAAAAATTTGCCAGGTTTAGGGACCACAGGGATATAGAGGTGATTTGTCATTGCCTGCCTCTGCATCACGATCCTGGTATTCCTTGGAGGTTTCCCATCCAAATACTAATCAGGGCCGACCTGTTTAGCTTCTGAGATCTGACGCGATTGGGCTAGCCTGGCCTATCCAGGTAGGCCACCATTATATGAGTTCATCATCATGGTTTCTATGTGGTCCCACATTGAGACTGTGAGTGTGCAGGCCAGGTGCGGAAAGGATTTCCAAAGCTTTCTAGTAGGCTAGGAGAGCCCCTCCTCCCTCCGGCACTTTCACACCAAAATGATCACATGATCAGGAAAAGGGGCGTTACTCCCTCACTTCTCTCCATGCCGCTACAAAGAGAGGATCTCTACTGCATGTCTCTGTTTTTTCCTCACCTCATTCTCGAAGCTGAGGAGACATATTTCTATCAAAAGTGTGGGTGAGGGGGTTTGTCATCAGTACTCATTCCAGTGAAGAATAGGCTGCCTATAAATTGAATAACAAAGAGGATGAAGAATTTTTTGAAGAATGGAATGATTTTAAGGACTATTTGGAGAACAATTGGGATGTGAAAAATAATTTACTTTGCTTTGAGAGTTATTAAGGATTGAGAGAGTTGTTAAAGGTAGAAAATAGTACTATAAGGTTACCTAAGACAGTATACTATTAAGGAACATAGTGTTTTTAACTACGAAGATATAGAAATTTTTTTTGAAGGGTTTAAGCATTGCGGGAAGCCAAGATTGGGGGGGAGGGGAAAAGAAAGGATGTATATGAAAATGATATATAATATTGAAAATGTTAACATATCCTGAATAAAAAAAATTTGTGACAAAAAAAAAAAGAATAGGCTGTCTATTGAGTACCAGATCCTTTTCAAGGAGGTGATGTCATCACACCAGGCACGTTGCGGGGGAATGCTCTATGATTTGAGGGAAAACTCTATGGTTTTCCCTCGAATCATAGTGGTCCCACCCCCAACGTGCCTGATGCGATGATGTAGCGCGTGTGCTGAAGACCTCCAGGACGGGGCCCGGGACTCCCCCGCTATAAGGTAAATTAGACTTGGCAACCCTAGGAAATTGATGGAACCCGCCCTGAGCCTGCTATACAGCGAGGGTGGGATACAAATCCAATAAAATAAATTTAAAGAATGAGGATTGGTCCAACTGTCGCTTTAGAATGGTGCTGTTCAATGGCCATTCTCTGTGCCTTAACCACCTCGGGGTTCACACAACAGAGCTGCCTGCTCTTTCTGTCACCCATTTCCCCTGGAGGTATGATTTGATAGAGCTGGAAGTGTTGGCTAACGGAGCCTCTGATTCAGAAGGGTTCTTTTCTAAGGCTTTGGCTGCAGTCTGCTTGCCTGAAGGAATCCCTTCCCCTCCCTAGCTTCTCTCCAATCCGACAGCCTGGAGGTGCAGCTTGGCAGAGGCTGAAACCTCCCCCCTCTCTGCCTTCTGTGGGTTCGCATCAGAAGCTTGGAGGTGTGGCCTAATGAAAGCCTGTTTTAAAGCTTAGCTATGCCTGACTGAAGGAACCTTTTCCTGGCTGCCCTCAGTTTCAAGGTGAAATCCTTGGAGACATGGGTGAACAGAGCCTTACAATTCAATGGGGCTCTTGGTGAAAAGTGCTATGTATCAGAAGGGTATTGTGCCCTTCAGTTGGGGTTGTTTGGATGTCTTCCGTTTTGGAGAGTTGTTAAATGGGTGGAGTTTCTTGTTCTTTTTATTATTTTTTGGGGGAGACAACAGACTACTTAGGCTTAAAGCCTGCTGAGCTTTATTTTACCACTCACTTTATATATGATTCTCTGGTGATCTTGTTAATACCTAGATTTTCGACGTGGTCTCTGTGCTTCACATCCATGGGATCTAGTGCGCACACGCTGGATCGATCGGTGCTGTAGCAAGCTCTTTCTTAACGGATTTTTGCGCCCAGCCCCTCTGGGCATGCGCAAGAACCCCACCGCACATGCCCAGAGGGGTGGGCACGGACATCCTGCCAGTTCCTTTCTTACCGCCGCGTTGGAAAGACCTGTTTCTCCGTCGGTCTGATCGGATCGCTGTTAGCTTTAAAAAACCTCCCCAGCTCTTGGAATCTAACAAACGGAGCATCCTTACTCTGACATCAAAACGGTAGAGCTCATAAGCCATCAAATGGATGCAGAGCATTCTCCGTCTCCTTCTCCGTCGTCAGCATCAATGGTTTCGGAAGCTCCCGATGTCAAGTTGCCTCGGCACCGATACACCTCGTATGCCACGCAATGTCACCCTCCTTGTCTCCGTGCTCAAACTGTCGATATCGACACTCGAGATTACAGAGACATGTCACACAGACAAGCCACTGCTCTGTCTCCCAGACGTCCATGGTCCAGAAGTTGCTCCCCGAGAGTCTTTCTGCCCCCACCACCATTGATGTTGTGGGATCAACGACAGTTGAGGTACCTCTACAGGGCCTATCCACCATCCTTGCCGTGGTTAACGCCCGCGGATTATTCTGATTGGGATCGTTATTCCACCCAATCTGTACATCGGTCAAGGTCCCCGCATAGATCAAGACCTTTGGCTTCTCTGTCACGTCCTCCTGTGGTCGATCTGTCACACCATAATATGGCACCAAGTCGTCCACTCAACCCTCCTGTCAATCCAAACCTGGTCGTTCCTGTCCTCCAACCTAAACCAGTAACTTGCCCTCAGGACACGTTGGTGCAGATACACCAACAAGACTCCTCTGACTTTGTGGAAGAGGCTTCTGATACGGAGGCTTCTGAAGTTCACACTTCTCCTGACCATAGGTCTCCTAACCAGGATGTTGCTGAGGACTTACCCATATTTCCTTCAGACAACCTTACGTCTTATACGGATCTGGTTAAACGAATGGCATATTCCTTAGGTCTCTTGGTCATCCAACAACAGCATCAAGCGACCGACTCAGTCTACGATATCGTTCAGCTTGATGTCTCTTCAGCCCTCGCATTACCTATGTCTTCAGTTCTGCTCCAAGCAGCAAAATCACCATGGTCTAAGCCTTCATCGGCCCCTGTGTCCACACGAAAGCTGGACCACATGTACAGAGTACAGGACACGGATGCAGAATTTCTCTTCTCTCATCCTCAACCAAACTCAACAGTCATTACATCATCCTCCAAATCCCAGAAGATGCATTCCGCACCTTCTGAAAAGGAAGGAAAGAAATTAGATGCTTTTGGCAGACGGTTTTATTCCACGGGAGTGTTGGCAGTCAAAGCCGCCAACTACCTGGCTTGTATGAATCGCTACCAATACACACTTTGGGAACAGTTTTCAGAACTCCTTAGTCACCTACTGGATGACAAACTGCAAGCGGCCAGAGTCATACAGAAAGAGGGCATGGGTGTTGGCAAAACAACAACTCAACACCACCAAGCATGTCCTCGAGGCATCTTCTAGACAAATGGCCTCTGCAATAGCTCTCAGGAAGCACTCCTGGCTTAGTAACACCAACCTCCCAGTAGACACCAGGTCTTACATCGAAGACCTACCCTTCGATGGCCTGGGATTATTTAATGCCACCACCGACTCTGCTCTGCAAGAGCTCGACAAAAGTATAAAGGCATCCTGGGCTCTAGGGGTATCATCCTCTGGAATGCAACAGTATCACCCTCGCACCTGGTCCCGGTCCTGGCAAAGGTGCACCCCCAGTCATCAGTCTCCTGACACACGTTGGAGGCCAAGAACATCTTCTGGAGGCCAGAAACCCGCCTTCCAAAAGCCAAAATTCGGTTCAGGCTAACAGGCTTCTCGTACCAAACAGTCAAAACCCTCCAAGCAGGGTTTTTTACTTCCCTGTCACCGAGTCAGCAATTACCCGTCTGTCACCTTTTCTTCAGACCTGGCATCACATCACCTTGGACGAGTGGGTCCTTGCCATCTTGACCCAAGGTTACAAAATCGAATTTATCCAGAACCCCAACACCACAGTCGTCGTCTCCACGTACCCTTCCCCGCCTCTTCTCGAAGAGGTATCCATCCTTCTGCAGAAGGGAGCCATCGAGCATGTACCATCACACCTCTACGGGACGGGATTCTACACCCGTTACTTCACAGTCCCGAAGAGAGATGGAGGCGTTCGACCCATATTAGATCTCAGGGAGCTGAACTGTTTCGTCATTTACCACTGTTTCCATATGGTGTCGCTTCCACAGATCATGCCACTACTCTGCAGACACGTCTGGATGGCCACCCTCGACCTCCAAGATGCCTATTTCCACATCACTATCCACCCCTTCCACCGCCAATACCTACGCTTTGCTATTGGCCACAGGCACTTCCAGTATACGGCCCTCCCATTCGGCCTCTCCAGTGCCCCACGAGTCTTTACCAAGACCATGATTGTGGTTGCGGCTTTTCTCCATCTTCAGGGTATCGCGATCTACCCCTACATAGACGATTGGCTCCTGGTGGCACCTTCCAAAACCGCCCTAACCTCAAATGTCGCAGAAACTCTGACACTATTAGAGAATCTAGGCCTTCGCATCAACATGCAAAAACTTGTCTGCAGTCCAGCGCATACAGTATATCGGCGCAATCCTGAATTCTCACACATGCATGGCTTACTTGTCCAAAAACAGAGCATCAGATATTATTTCACTGGCCACCATCGTCCACACCCACCCTTCCGTCACCGTCTTCGACATTCAGAGTCTGTTAGGTCTAATGACGGCAACCACGTCCGTCCTCATCTTTGCAAGGCTCAAAATGAGACCCTTACAACTGTGGTTCATTCGTCACTACGACCTGTCAAGAAACGCACATACTGTCGTCCTCTCCCCTCCTCCCAGCATACGGGACTCTTTAATTTGGTGGACTCTCCCTGCCAATATCCTTCAGGGAGGGCCCTTCCACCCTCTGTTACCAGAGATCACGATAACTACCGATGCTTCCTTGACTGGATGGGGTGCACACTCCATGGGACTGTCGGTAGGAGACAAAAGGGATGCCCAGAGAGGAGCAAACACATAAACTTCCTCGAACTCCTAGCCATATGGCACGCCATCACTTCCTTCCTTCCCTTACTCAAGGGAAAATGTGTCACGGTCCTGACGGACAATACCACAGCGCTGTCGTATATCAACAGGCAGGGGGGCACAGTGTCCCAACGCCTATGCAGCCTGGCCATCCAACTGTGGGAGTTGTGCATCAACAACGATGTATTAATCGTGGCCACTCACATCCCGGGCCACATCTAAGTCGAGCCAGACTCAGCCTACACGAATGGGGGATGAACCCAAAATACCTCCTCCCACTCTTCCGCAAGTGGGGGACTCCCCTAGTCGATGTCTTTGCAACCAGAATCAACAAAAAATGTCATCTGTTCTGCAGTCGAGGAGGCTAAGACCCACAATCTCTGGGAGACAGCCTCCTTTACCCTTGGTCATCAGGACTCCTTTACCTATCCCCCCCCCTTACCTCTGCTTCTTAGAGTGGTCTGCAAGATTCTCAAGGAAGCCGCGGACTGCATCCTGGTAACGCCATGGTGGCCAAGACAGCCTTGGTTTTCAACGGTCCTCGAGCTTTCCCGGGGGATATACCATCAGTTCCCCCCGGCCCCAAACCTCCTTCTGCTCTCAGATTCCCCCGTTTTTCACCACAACATACCTCAGCTGAAACTTACGGCTTGGCAGGTAACATCACGGGCTTCTCCTCCCATGTAGTTGACGTCCTCCTGAATTCAAGGAAACCCACTACGCGGAAGTCTTATAACTACAAATTGAGAAAATTCTGCTCCTTTCTGGGCGATGACGCCACTCGAGCCACCTCAGCTGGCCTCAAAATGGTTTTTCGTTTCCTCCTCTACCTAGCTGACTCGGGACTTTCCCACTCTTCGTTGAAAGTTTATTTGGCCGCCCTTTAGGCCTACCATGCTCCAGTTGAAGGATGTACTTTGTTTTCACATCTGATTTCGAAACGGTTTTTAAAAGGTTTGCTTCACCTTTACCCTCCTTTCAGGACTCCAATTACTCCATGGGACCTTCCTCTCGTTCTACGCCAGTTGACGAGGAAGCCCTTCGTGCCACTCGCAACTTGCGAACTCAGACTCCTGGCTTGGAAAATGGCCTTCTTAGTTGCCATCACCTCGGCTAGGCAAGTGGGAGAGATACTGGCTTTCTGCCACAACACACCCTACCTGTCGTTTTTGCCAGATGGAGTATGCTTAGTGCCGGACATTTCCTTCCTGCCAAAGGTGGTGTCAAAGTTCCACCTGCAGGCTAAGGTCTTCCTCCCAGACTTCTTTCCAAACCCTATGTCAGCGGAGGACAGATTACTGCACACTCTAGATGTCAAGTGGGCTCTCTTGTTCTATCTGCAAAGAACGCATCCAACTAGACGAGACCCACACTATTCGTCTCATACGCTTCAGCACGGCTAGGCAGTCGCATCACGGCACAGCGCCTGTCAAAGTGGATTGTAGGTCTAATCCAACTCTGTTACCTACTCGCCAAGCAGCCATTGCCTGGCCCTATAAGGACTCATTCCACCAGGGCTGTCGCGACTTCCACTGCCTTCCTCCAGGGAGTGCCACTGCAGGACATTTGCAAAGCCGCTGCCTGGGCAATGCCTAACACCTTCATCAGGCACTATGCCCTAGACGTCCATACGAACACCAGTACCAACATGGGACATCACATTCTTTCTTCGGCTACGCAGTTAAAGACCTGCCAGCACCCACCTCCAGGTAGGCCACTGCTCGCTAATCTCCCATGGGTGTAAAGCACAGAGACCACGTCAAAGATAAGCAGGTTGCTTACCAGTAATTGGTGATCTTCGAGTGGTCATCTGTGCATTCACACCACCCGCCCTCCTTCCTTGCTGCTGTCAGCGTCTACATTTTTGAATAGGGGTTGATTTGCGGCGGTACTTTGAAGGAACTGGCGGGATGTCTGCGCCCACCCCTCCGGGCAAGTGCGGTGGGGTTCCTGCCCATGCCCGGAGGGACTGGGCGCAAAAATCCATTAAAAAAGAGCTTGCTACAGCACCGATCGATCCAGCACGTGCGCACTAGATCCCATGGGTGTGAATGCACAGACGACCACTCGAAGATCACCAGTTACTGGTAAGCAACCTGCTTTTCTGAATTATTGTAATTCTCTCTATATAGGGCTTCCCTTGATTCTGCTCCAGAAATTGCAGCTAGTGCAGAACACAGCGGCATGGATATTGATGTTGCTACCTGTGTGGGCATATATCTGCCCCCTGCTGCGTGACCTGCACTGGCTGCCTATTGAATTCCAGATCAGTTTCAAGGTGCTTATCTTTAAAGCCCTATACGGCAAGACTGCCACTCCCCCTATGAACCCTGGAGAGCTTTACAGTCTGCCAGTCAGCACCTCCTGGTGGTCCCTGGCCCAAGGGATGTTTGACTTGCCTCAACTAGACAAATACAAAAACTGAGGGTCACAATGTTAGGAAGACATACAAAAATATATATCACTGTGTACAATAAATATATGTTTATGGTATAAAATTGTTTTACCATAAACATATATTTATTGTACACAATGATATATATTTTTGTATGTTGCTCAACTAGGGCCGGAGCTTTTTCAGCCCAGGCCCCTGCTTGGTGGAATGAGCTACAAAAACAGAGCTCTTCCATCAGGCCTTTAGTTGAGGCAGTGGACATCCATTTGATTAGGCCTACCCCCCCAGTAACCACAGATCCTGGAAGCCAGAATGGAACCACACTATCTGCTGTTGAGGCACGTTGTTGCTTTCATGCTGGTATTCTTAATGAAATAAGGATGATGATGATTTATGGATTTTAAATTGATTATTGTCAGAGTTCAGTTGGAGCCAGAGCGCAAAGGAGTGGCGCTCCGGGAGTGAGGAGCCTGGGGGCGGGCACATGACCAAGCCCCACCCCCTGGTCCCAGCAGCCCATCTAAGGAGCCGGCTTGCCTGCGTGTCCCACAGCTGCGAGGTGCACGAGCAAGCCATGGAAGGGGAGGAGGTTTAAACTGCCTCCCCTTCCATCTAAGGTGCTGACTTGCCCAGGTGCCCTGCAGCCACGGGACACTCAGGCAAGCCATGGAAGGGAAGGGAGTTTAAACTGCCTTCCTATCTGATGCTAGGGGGTGTGGCGTATGCAAATAAGTTATGCTAATTAGTTATGCTAATGAACTCCTGCACCTCTTTTTCTACTAAATGACCCCTGATTATTGTAATATGTTTTTAAATGCGTAAATCTGCCTTAATTGCATATACATATATGTTGGTGCCCGCCCTGAGCCTACAATGTGGGGAGGGTGGGCTATAATTTGAAACAAACAAATAAATAAAGGCTGACACAGTGACATAGCAGCCTTCAGTCCACCGTCTTGCTGCAGTCTCTTAGCACTGAAAATTAATCCTAAAGTGCTTTCAGCACAGATGCTGTTTAAAACAGAGGCAAGGAGCTTGACCCACCGTGTCTCACAGCCTGTGTGCTGCTGATGTACATGATAAATATATATTTTAATCTGGGTCAGTCTTTTTACATTGCCCTAGTCCAGGGGTGGGCAAACTGCCGCTCAGGAGCTGCATGCGGCTCTTTCACACAGATGTGTGGCTCCCACAGGCTCAGACCAGGTTAGTACTTGGATGGGAGACCACCAAGGAAGTTGAGGGTTGCTATGCAGAGGCAGGCAATAGCAAACCACCTCTGTTCATTTCTTGCCTTGAACACCCCATGAGGGAGAGCCCTAATTCCGTTGTGACTTGACATCCCTTTCCGCTATCAGCTAGATGTGAGTTCTCTTACACACTGGGTCTTACATTTGCTCTCACATAATCTTCTACTGATATTTATAAAAATTAAAATATAGAAATCAGACCATTGTTTTCTGCTTCAGTCTCTAGACAGTTTTGGTTTCTGGGTACAGATTTTTTTGCAGTGTATCTTTAATTGTTCCTCTGAATCTTTTTTCATTGCAGAACTCAATCATGTTGGCATTACAGTCTGACCCCCAGGCAGTGCCTGCAGCATCGGCATCTTCCTTCAGCTCTCAACAAATGACTTTGGATGCTGCTCAGACTGCTCCACCAACTTCTCCTTCTGTGTACAGTGGGGACACATCAAGCGAACCTCCTCTGTCTTCATCAGAACAGTTCAGAAATACATCCAGCACCCAGGGGTACAGTGAAATTGTGGAGAAGGCCCACCAAATGCATGCTGATGCGTGGTCCCAGGAAATGAACTTTAAGAGTGAGACAGCTCATCTAGAGGCTGAGGAGTCTGATAACCAGGAGGACACCTCCTCCAGAACATCACCTCTGATTACACCAGAGTGTGAGACAGAGCCACTGACTTTGACAAGCGCAGAAGAGACAGCTCTACCAGTGATTACTTCTGTACGGTCCCTGGAGAGAACATCTGAGAGTGGAGATGCACCAATTGAACCTGGCCCTCTGTCATCATCAGAACAGTTCAGAACTACATCCAGCACCAGGGTGTACTGTGAGACTGAGGAGAAGGCCCACCAAATGTTGCCTGATGACTGGCTAAAGGAAATGATCTCTGAGAGTGAGACAGCTCGTATAAAGGCTGAGGAATCTGATCAGCCGGAGGTCACTTGCTCCGAAGCATTATCTCTGAATGCTCCAGAGTGTGAGACAGAGCCACTGACTTTGACAAGCACAGAAGAGGACCCCCAACCAGTGATTACTTCTGTATGGTCCCTGGAGAGAACCTCTGAGAGTGAGACAGCTCTTGCAAGGGCTGAGGACTCTGATCAGCAGGAGGACACCTCCTCCAGAGCACTGCTTTCCATTGCCCCAGAGTATGAGGCAAATCCACAGCCCTTGAAGAGCACAGAAGAGGCAGCTCTACCGGTGATGGCTGCTGTAGGGTCCCAAGAGACAATAGCTGAGAGCAAAACCACTCGTAGAGAGCTTGAGGAATGTGATCAGCAGGAGAACAACTTCTCTGGAAGATCAGCTCAAGCATATATGCCAGAGCCACAGCCTTTGACAAGTACCCTTCTGGAGACCCCACAGGCCACACCACCAGCTGCGATGGAGAAGAAAGCACCAGGGAGAGATACACAGATGTCCAAAAGACATTCCACCAACAAGAGATCCAGCAGCACTGCTTTGAATAGTACCACTACCTCTGCTGGGACTCTCCGTTGCCTTCCCTCGTCAGCCCCTGCAGATGGGGGGCCTCCCACCAAACGTTGCCGACAGACATCCATTGCCTGGATCTATTTCACAAAGCAGCCCAAGAACATTGCTACTTGCAGAGTCTGTGAAGAGGATGTGCAAACTGGAAAAATAGGAGCCTGTGGCAATGTGGGCACTGCACCACTGCTCAGACACCTTGAGCATAAACACAAGATCCCATCCATTGTCTGGCAGCATTTCAAAATGTGGTCCAAGTTCTCTGCTACTTGCAGATTCTGTAAAGAGATTGTGGACATTGGAAAAATAGATTGCAGCCGAGTGGGCACTGCATCACTGCTCTCACACCTAACGCGCAAACATGGGATGCCCCAGGAGAAGGTGGCAACATCTGGGATGCCCCAGGAGAAGGTGGCAACATCTGTGGTGACTGGAGCCGGGTCTGAGATGCAGGATGCAGAAAGACCTTCCACCACTGAGGGTCCCAGCAGAACCACCTCAGCTGCTTCACCTTCTACCACCCCCTCTCCAGGGACGCTCAGTCACCTTCCCTCATCATCCCCCACAGAAGTGAGGCCTCCCACCAAACGTCGACGGACATCCATTGCCTGGAAGTATTTCACAAAGTGGTCCAAGTTCAAGGCTACATGCACTATCTGTAAAGAGGATGTGAAATTTGGAAAAAGAGTAGGCTGTGGCAATGTGGACACTGCAGCACTGCACTCACACCTTAGGCGCAAACATGGGATCACCCGAGAGAAGGTGGCAACATCTGTGGTGACTGGAGCCGGGTCTGAGATGCAGGATGCAGAAAGACCTTCCACCACTGAGGGTCCCAGCAGAACCACCTCAGCTGCTTCACCTTCTACCACCCCCTCTCCAGTGAAGCTCAGTCGCCTTCTCTCATCATCCCCAAAAGATGTGGGGCCTCCCACCAAACGTTGTCGACAGACATCCATTGCCTGGCTGTATTTCACAGGGCGATCCAAATTCATTGCTACTTGCAGAGTCTGTGAAGAGGATGTGCAAACTGGAAAAATAGAAGCCTGTGGCAATGTGGGCACTGCAGCACTGCTCAGACACCTTGAGCATAAACACAAGATCCCAGCCATTGCCTGGCAGCATTTCAAAATGTTTTCCAAGTTCTCTGCTACTTGCAGATTCTGTAAAGAGATTGTGAACATTGGAAAAATAGGCTGTGGCAATTTGGGCACTGCAGCACTGCTCTCACACCTTAAACAGAAACATAAGACCCCCCAGGAGAAGGTGGCACTATCTGTGGTGCCTGGAGCCCTGTCAAAGACACAGGATGTAGAAAGACCATGCACCACTGAGAGTCCCAGCAGAACCACATCAGCTGCTTCAACTTCTACCACCAACTCTCCAGTGATGCATAGTTGCCTTCCCTCGTCATCCCCAAAAGATGTGGGGCCTCCCACCAAACATCGAGGGACACCCCTTCCCAGGCAGAATTTAACAAAGCAGTCCAAGTTCAGTGCTGTTTGCCAAGAAAGGATGAGACATCCTCAAAAGGGGGAAAAGAGCAATTTACAACTAAACAGAGGCGCTGGAGGAACTTCCCCAGCACACAGCAATGGAGCAGAGAGTATGGAGGAGGGAGATAGGTACTTTCACAACATGGCTACGCCCATTACCCTCCCGGAGGGAACCAAGCCTGACGAACCTGTAACAGCTACCTTACTGCAAACAACCTTGCAAACGACAATACAATTTATGAACAAAACTCTGGCTGACAGCCTGGCTGCTGTTATGAAACCTTTAGAGGAAATCAAAACAACAATGATACAGGCTTCACAGAAACCAGAATCCGAATTTATCATCGCCTTACAGGAAGAGAACAGGGAGATACAGAGAGACATACAACTGCTTAAAGCGAAAGTTATTCAATTTGAAAGATCAGCCAAAGAAGGTAATTAAAAATTTAGGGGGGTTAAGTGACTCTAAAATTCATGGAAACCTGGTTGGCAGAAGTAACGAATAAGACATAAACTGAAGAGATAACCATAATCAAAGCATATAGAATGAGAAGCTCTGCTAACTCTAACAGAAAATTCTCCAGAGACGTTTTAATGGTCTTTGAAGACACCAAAGTACGTGCAGCAATACTAGTGAAAGCACGCTCTGTAGGACAACTGAAATACCAAGAAGAAAAAATTTGATGTTTTCCTCAACGTTCCGCCTGAAGCTTTGTACATGAGAAAACAACTGAAAGGAACTATTGCCAAATTACAAGAAGCAAACATAAAATAGAAATGGATCACACCTGTGAGGATATCAGTTGTTAAATACTGGGTTCCACAGATGAGCAGACCACAAGTCTAGTAATCAGCTCAGCTTTATTAGTCATTCAGCAGATACAAGACAAAACTCCAGGGCAAGAGCCCTGTTTAAATAGCATGCAAACACCACACCCAACCACACCCAACTCCCAACGATAGGCTATTTGCATAACATTAATTCCTCACTGGTCACCTCCAGAATCCTGATGATGACTTTTTGAAGACTCTGAGAATTTTAGCTCTCTTTACAAGTTTGGAATACAGTAAGGAAAACAATTAAAGTGAAATATTTCCTTCTAGACATTAGACACTTGAGGTTGTATGGGGTTGTTTGGGGGTGGGGAAAAGGGTATACAAGAATAATAGCACTAAAGAAAACTGAAATAGGGCCCCGTTCACACGGAGAAGTTGCCACGCTGAAGACATGGATGATAGGCGGATTTTCCAGGCGCGATCACACCGCAACATCTGGGAAGCGTAGTGCACCTGTGGCTAACCCATGGCTTGTCGCCGAAGACTCGGAGTAAAAAACCACCACATAGGATGTACTAGTTTCCAGAAAACACGGGGCAAGGGTGAGCGTCTGATTGCGTTTCTGCTGGAATCCCGTGGCATCCGGCGCCCCCCCATGTCCCGTTGCAAACCAGATGTTGTTGTTTTTTAAGTCTCCACAGGATGTGCACAAACGGCCACTGTGCGCACACTGAGGTGAGGGACAAAAATTCCAGTTTGCCATGGAAGCGGCACCTAGCGATTGCCAGTGTGATCGTGCTGCGTCGCTTCTTTGCCGCACTGCAGGATAGCCGTCTGATCGGCACCTAAGGGCATACCCATGGGACCTCCACGGGACATGTGATCGGGCTGCCGTGCGTTACTTTGCTCCAGGGAAAACAGTCATGCTTCTCCCCACATTTTCCGGCCTGTGTGACTGGGGCCCTTGTATGACATAGAGGGTAGATAGGTAATGTTGTTTTAAGAAGGTAGCGTTAGAAGTAGAAGAAAAGTTAATTAGTATATAGTAAGTAGACTTAGGAAATATTAGAATAGTTAGAGATAAAAGTATTGTGGTAGTTGTGTTAATTCCTGTGTTTTTTTAAGTCTTTAGCTTACAATGGTGGCAAGATATAGAATTAGAATTCTTAATGTAAGAGGATTAAACAAAGGAGAATTAAACAAAGGAGGATTGAAACAGTCATTCTGAAAGATAAACCTGATATTATAATGTTGCAGGAGACAGATTTGAAAAATGAAAAATTTCCTCTGCTAAAATCATCTTGGTTTTCACACATCTGTCAGGCACCTGGCACCTCAAAGTCCAGAAGGGTAGCAATTTTAATTGCCAAATCTATTAACTTTATTTTTAAAGGCAAGATCTCAGATCCATCAGGCAGATATGTAGCGATCAAAGGGAAGTTGGATGGTCAAGCAGTGACATTGGCATTGGTATATGCACCCAACAAAAGACAAGCTCAATTCTTAAATGACATTCTTAGCTCACTTCAGGCATTTCAAGAAGGCACAGAAATAATTGGCAGCAACTTCAACCTGATAGCAGACAACGAATTGGACAGATCAAATTTTAAATCTCTCATTTAAGACCAAAGGTAACAAAAAATACGACATATTACAAAATGTTCACCTTAATGACAGCTGGAGACTCACACATCCTTTAGAAAAAGATTATACTTGCTATTCAGCCAGATTTGACTCATATTCTAGACTGGATTATGTCTTGCTATCAAATGAACTAGTGGAAAAAAAAGGCGACTCTGAAATGGGGGGGGGGGTAGATGGACAGATCACGCACCAATAAATTGTGTATTCAAAAGCTTTGACTTTACACCAAAAGACAGACATTGGTCATTAAATAATTTGAAAACGATTAAGAAAGTGGAGAAAAAACCTGAAACTATTAATAAAAAAGTTGATGAAGCAGAAAAAGGAAGGACTTCTGACAAAACACAACTACTACAGCTTCAACTAGAAAGATCAATGTATGTACTACGATTCCAAGGTATTCCTGAGGAAAAGGATAAGAACCTGAAAGAGACTTTGGCTGACAACTTGGCACCTCTAATGGATTACAAAAAAGAAGATTTATTAAAGGATGTGGACTTGGCTTATCGAACTTAATCGGATTTTATAAAGACAAACAAACTTCCAGGCAAGGTTTATGTGAACTTTACAAAAAAATCTATCAGAGAGTTGGTCCTTAAGGCAACTTCAGGAAAACCCTTGAAAATTAAAAATGAAGTTGTCAAAGTTTTAAGACATACCTTTTGAAATACGGAAACGAAGGAAGCTGTACAAGGACTTG